CCCCGGTCATACCCCCCACACTCCCCTTTATAAATAATGAGAGGAAACATATCACAGTTGCAGTCAGAGACATTTTATTTGTGCGCACATCGTGTCAGGTGACCAGGAGGAGGAAGTGTACGAAGACCCCGGTGACTTCTGAGATCCGAACGGGTCATGTGACCTCTCCTCATAGGCCCGCTCCAGGCAAAAGTCAAGGGTTTAGTCCTCCGTCAAATTTTGTATTGCCGCCTGTGTCTGCATTTCAACGTGTCACCCTCACTTCCTGTTTGTTTCATGGGTGCCGGTACAGGAAGTGAAGTGTTCCAGTACAGGAAGTGAGGGGGAATCCCCTAGACGGGGGACACAGGTAGCTATGAAACGTTCTGATTTAGTGAGGAAGGTTTAGAACCTCTGAGGATTTTAATGCGATTTTTACTTACTTCCTATTAAGGGAACAGGTGTCAGAAGAAACAGGAAGTGAGGTGTTCCAGTACAGGAAGTGAGGGAGAATCCCCTAGACGGGGGGGGACACACAGGCAACAATGAAACGTTCTGATTTCGTGAGGAAGGTTTTGAACCTCTGAGGATTTTAATGCGATTTTTACTTCCTATTGAGGTAACAGGTGTCAGAAGAAACAGGAAGTGAGGTGTTCCTAGAACAGGAAGTGAGGCAATATCGCCTCAATTTAAAACCCAAAAGAGGCTCTAACCCTGAAAAAAAAAGTCTTGGCTAGAGTTGAGTTTTTAATACAAATGCCCTTTTAATTTTCGGGGTTGACAGAAACCAGCTTTGGTTCAAAACACCAATTTTTTTGGGCGGATCGAATGTGGCGAGTCTGTGAAATATTTACGTTTTTTTTTTCATGTCAAAAAAGTGCTTTAAAAATTAAAAGGCTTTCTGATTTTTTTTTTTCTTCAAAATAAATACATTCGTATTAAAACCGCCGGGGTCTTAAAAACAATAAATACATAAATAAATTAATTCATTCATTAACCGATCAATAAATATGATTTGTTGGCGGCCGGCGTGTGAAAAGCTTTTTTTGGGGGATTTTTTCAGAATAAGTCAAAGTCGAAGGCGTCGATGGCGGCGATGGGTTCTCGCCAAAAGTTGAAGGCGCTGTACTGGGTCAGGGGGTCCTCCGCCTCCCGCGGCCGGTCCTCGGGGCTTTTGCCGATGTCCTCCAGGCCCAGGCACTCCAGCTCGCACAGGTCGATGGCGGGGATCGGCATCTTCCAGAAGATGAAGGAGTCGTACTGGCTGCTCGGCGTGTCCAGCATTCTGATCTGGAAAATGGACGCAAAAGAATGGTAAGGGTTAAACACTCGCGCATATCTCTTATTCAGTTCAATTTTATTCAATAAAATGTTAGTTATAAATTTTATTACATTTATTTGTATTTATCACATTTTATTTACTTTGATTGTATTTATATTTATTATAATTTTCTTATTTTGTATTTATTATATTTTATTTATATTTATTTTATTTACATTTATTATCATTTTTTATTTATTATATTTTATTTATATTTATTTATGACATTTTATTCATTTTTTTTCTTTTATATTGCATTTATTACATTTTATTTGATTTATTACAGTTTTTAAATGTTATTTATATTTATTAAAATGCATTTTATTTTTTAATTTATTTAT